ACCCTCGGGGTGGTGGGGGGAAGGGGGGAACGGGGGGGGGGGGGGTTACTGGGGTTGGGGGGGGTGCTGGTGTCAGTTCCTGGCCTCCAGGGTCACAATATTCTGGGTTTGGCCTGCCCTGTGGGTTTGGTACAGGGAGAGACTCTTTGGCCTTGGGACTACTGCTCCTATTATATCTAAGCGTATGGTCACTCTATGGGGGTGTCTGGTGTCCATCTGCCTTGGGCTTCTGCAGCCTTTAGGAGTCAAGGCTACCTGCCATTTGGTGCTCTGAGGCTCTGCATGTTTCAGGTTTTCTGCTCTTCTCAGCATTCTAACAACTGTGTAACTATAGGTGAAATTTTCACTTATAACACATCCACTCCACAAAACGTATAACACATCCACTCTCTCCACAGAAATATTCTGATTAATACTTTTTTTTAAGCTATGTGAACTTTTCAAAAATTACACCATATTGTTTAAATTGTTTTTCCTTAGTCTTTCATGCTTTTGAACAACATTTTTTTTTAAACTCTGAATCATAACAAATACCAGGTTTATTTTATATTTTAATTTACCCAGTAGAATGACCTTATCCGTAGTAAATTGTGGAGGAGAAATACTGTCATTCTCTCTCTTTCAATATTACATCTGACACCATATCTCAAGAAGTAGTCTAAAGATATCAGGTCACTCCAATATCTTTATGTTTTTTCTATTTTAGAGATTCTACTACGATGTTACAACAGTGATTGTTCTTCCACGTGATCCAATTTCGGTGAAGATTCAGTTGTCAGACAGATGGGCTCAGTTGTGGTCCAGAGCACACAAGATGAATACCACATAAACTATGCAGAGTTGAATCTGAGAGCAGTGATCATAATTTTCATGTAAATCTCTCCCTCACCATCTCCTCCTTGCGATCTATCCACTTAAATAAGTCATATACAGGTACAGCTAATCCTCTAACTTTTGATTGTTTTTTTTATCCGTTTTTTTTTTTTGTTCAGAAAGTTATAGTCTGTCAGATTTAAGTCACATAAATCTGTCCTTGGTATTATTTGAGACTAGGTAATTCTACAATGATTTATAATTGCAAAATTCCTCTATTGTTCTCAGTATAAATGCATTATGTTCAACAGGAACCCAGTAAAAGTGCTGCACATACTCTGAAGACGTCACAAGACTTAGTGTTACACAAATACACAAACAGCAGGAAAGGAAACAAGAAAGGAAACATATTTATGTTTCAATGAATACTCAGTATAGTCGGAAAGGATCTATTAATTGTCTTCCTTTCATCCATCCATCCATTACCTTTTGCATATCTGGTAGCAAATCTAGGATAGAAACCCAAACATCGCTCTCCCCAGTGACACCCTCTGGCTTGTTCTGGGGGATCCCAAGGCATCCCTTGGCCAGCAGGGATGCATAGTTCCAGTGGGATGTGCTAGGAAAACCATCAGACGGATGTTTCCGGGAGGCATCCGGAAGTGCTTGATTCACCTCAGCTGACCATTTTTGATGTGGAGGACCAGGATCCTAGGATGTTGGACCTCTTTACCCCATCTGTCTAAGGCTGAGTCCAACCACTCTTCAGAGGGAGCTAACTTATGTCACTTAAATAACTAATAAGCTGCTCCATTGTCCGTGGGATCAAACTGCAGAAACATGCAGCAGAAATGAATAAACGAGAAGCATTCCATTATTACTCCTCTGTTATAGATTTGAAATTCTGAATATTTTTTTCCCTTCAATTTCCCCCCCAACAAACATGAAATGTCAATGGATCTTAGATGCTCCTAGAACTCATTTACTTTTCACATCTTTTTTTAAATTGTTTCATTTGGAATTATTTGAGCCACATTTTCTGCTCTCATTTTTGAGAGACAAGGAAAATAAATTTCATCATAATATTCGGTCTTTGAGTGTTCCCAATTCAAAAATAATTCATTCTTTTCCCAGCAAAATCATTCATCTCCTTCTGCCCTACACAAGAGGTCAGTGAAACTGGACTAATGTTGAACACCCAATGGGATGCATTTGATACTGTCAGGGACAATTTGGTGCTAGTACAGGGTGTGCCAGGAACATGTCATCCTGATTTAGGTGTCCTGTGATGGGGTACCAGCATCAGCAATAGCCCGCCATCGGCTGTGACTGAATCTGGCTGTACAATGCTGAGATTACCATCATGCACACACACACACACGTACAATTGCAGAGACACAAACAGTTGATATGAGCATGCATCTACATAAAAAAACATCTAATTGTGAGCATGAGAAACAGAAATATAATCTGATAAATATGCACATGAACAAAGTCCATGACTTCACACACGTGCATGCATGCAAGCACATGTGTGTGGACACCCTGTCTAATTCGATCAAGCTGTTGACTTACAGGGACTTTGTGAGATAAAAAGGAAAAGAACAGTGGGAGAGGTGCCCTAACATTTTACATTACAGTGAAACCTCTGTTCTCCAGAGGAATCAGTGAAACGCGAAAAATTTAGTATCACACAAAGATATAGCCAAGAGATGGCTCATCTGCTTTTAAGGCGAGCGAGGAAAAGTGCCACTGTGGACTGTCACATTTCCATTTTATTGCATTCCTATAATAATTGTAAATTGACATAGATTCTACCTGAGTAGAGCTAAGTGCTCACACATTGTGATGCTAACACAAACATACAAAGATTAGTCCCAGCTTACTTTTGTCAATGTAATTTTTCCTAGTTAACCATATTCGTTTTATGGGCTCCCTTTTGAATTTACAGAATCTTGTGTATTCAGGGTTTCCCTAAGTCTATTGTCAATTGGCAAATAGCAATATTTCGAATATTTGTAAAACCATATTTTCCTACAATCACATCTGAAGGTTTTTTGTGGTGTCTTGACCAGTTTTGTACCTACAGTAGATTACCTGATTATTCTCCCTCCCCATTCATCTTTCCAAACTAGCTCAAGCTCAATTATATTTGATGGAGCGCATCTTTGGCTACGAATTCTTAGTTATATATTTAGGTTAGTATTTAGAATTTAGGTTTGGACTTTGACTATCTCATTTTAAAATATCAACATGATTTGATCTGAACTATTCAATTGCATCTTTGACATTATGTTTTAGGTCAATGTCCTGCATGAGTGTCAAGTCTTTTGCAGCCTCTAAAGGGTTTTCTACTGTTGATCTTGTATTCAGCTCCGTCTACAATAGCTTCTTTCCAATGAACTTTAACTAGTTTCCCTGTTCCTTTGGAAGAAAAGCATCTTCAAGTCTGTATTGTCCACCCCTCTAAAAGAACTATTTGTGCATGTCTCACTTTTTACAATAAGTGACTTTTACCTCAAGGTGTCTTTAGATACATTCTTATAATTTCTGGTTGCACATATTTTTGTATGTGAAGTTTCTGCATTAATTGATAGAAATGCACTATTTTTTTTCTTTTTTAATCAAGAGTCTTCAGGAAAAAACATAGCACATATCTGGTTTCACACTGGGCTGTAGACATGGCAGTACCTCCATTATTAGTTCCTAATGAACTCCTTTGGGTTTGTATGTGCATACAAAGTGTTGGTGTGTGGATGTGACAGAAAGTGAGGTGGGAATCACTCCAGACATTATTTCATGAATTTCATTAGTTAGGCAAAAATAATTTCCCTGCCAGCTAGGATTGTAATTCATCTATTGTTGTTAATCCAAATTTAATATGTTGAAAATTACTACAGGGACGATATACTGGGGAATTGCTTCTGTAGTGAGTAAAAGTATCTTCCTGCTCTTGAAGTTTTGTGATTTTTTTTTTTTATGAAGAAAGCTTGTTTTTCATTTATTTTCTTCTGACATCATGTCTTCCCTGTTCATATTGCACATTATCACAATCATTTTCTGCAGGCTTAGGAAATTGTGATCATCACAGATTATTCAGTAATGTATATTCTTGCTTTGAAGAATGAGAATATTGCACACTGTTTGAGTTCACCGTTTAGATTGAGTTGTGGATCATACACTTGCATGGTGATTGAGTTTCATTAAAATAAAGAAAAATGTATAATGAGATATTTAAGGTCTGACAGTACTAACAATGACTCATTCACCTATTTTCTCTGGAATGCATAAGTGCCTGAATAAGTGGAGATTTTAAGATTAACAATTTTAAGACGTCATCTAAAACCTAATGCTTTCAACACAAAGCAAGCTCCAGAAGTTGGATCCACCCTCCAAAACTCTCACGATGCTGGAGGTTTCGTAGAGGTACCCGTCAGATTTTATTTTAGCCTCTGAGTATATTCATACTGTGTGTATTCTCTGCAGAAAAGGACAAAGGAAACGGTTTGGGGGGGGCTAATCAAACTTGAACTTATGGCAGGATTGGTGTGATGGCCTGCAGGGACATGTTCAGCATCTGACACACAGATAGTTGGGAGGATGTGAACACAAACACATAAGAAGAAAATAAATACCTGTTCATACTGTGTGCTGTTGAGCAGCCTCACAATAATGCCAGTGCAGTATTAGCTGGAAAACTGCTAATACTGCAGTTTTAGCAGTTTTCTGTATGGAAACTATAATTCAATTGCATCAGTAGTCTTAACCAGACACTGTTACATTATATCAAGTACTAATAACCCAATCAATTATTTATACATCTATAGTCAGAGTTGTCTGAACATCAACATCAACCGTTTTCAACTGTATTGTCGCATAATCTATATATCTAAGCAGTGTCTATGCCTGTTCTATCTTTATGCAGTGGAAGTTAAATGTGAACTCTAACATGCAACTTTAAACATTGGACATCACAACATACACAATAAAACGCATACAATTGCACCTGCAATTGGATTGTTCACTATAAATCCTAAACTTAATGAAGGCCCCGCTCCCCAATTAGTTTGAAAATAAAACTTAATGGCCAATTGACTCTGTGAGCAAATAAACAAAACAAAGCAAAACAGTACCTGGTTTAGCAGTTCAGTATCCAGTCTCAGGTTCCAGTTCAGGTGAAGAGGAAAGACCAACCGATGACCTAAGATGGCGATGTCTCCTGGTCCAAGGTTACATCCCAATGAGAAATATCCAGGTGCAGGAAAAGGGAAACATCAAATACTGTAATCCAAAGCCACTCTTCAGACTATTACCGCTTAATTTAGGACTAGTATCCATATCCAGGCCGGAATGCTGAAGATGCAGCCGGCTAAACTACGCTTCCTGTGTGCGACATCTATTTAGCTAGCGAATGCCAGCAGTTCAGTGCTAAACCAACCGCCTGAAAGTGCAAAAAATACATATAAAACTGCAGGACAAACTTGGAACTGAAACTATCCAAAATAGTCCAGGAAACTTATCTTATCACTCAAAGCTGCGCCATTGTGTCCTGCGTGCGTCTTTCTCCGTCGCTTTCCTCAAACTTCGCCGCTATTTCTTCTTCTTCTTTTCCACTATGGCGGATCGCAAGCAATTTCAAGGTGCATACCGCCACCTATTGTACATGAGTGTATAGAGCATTAACCTACATTAAATGAAATTCTTTTTTATTTTGTAAGAAGATGAATAAAAAAATGCTTTCCTTAATGTATAAATATCTTCTGTGTTTTCTTCATTTCCCAATATGCACTTAAGACTCAATTTATGTCTGTCCTTCTTACTGTTTTCCTCAATCTCTCCCTTCCATGCTCGTATATTTCACAATTTATCAATACATGTTCTACATTTTATTTCCCTCGGCATTGTGCTGTCCTCGCCCTGAGTTTTCAATCTTTTCAGCCGCTAGACAGCCAGACAACGACGCTCCAATAACCAAACTTCTTTCTTTCTTTTTAGTTGTTTATTGAAGAGTGGCCTCTAACCACTACCATCACTTTGGCCATCATAAAGAACAAATCTTGTCGGAAACACAACGAATAAAGACGTCAGCTACTCCACGAGCTGTTTGGTGTCGCATTCCACCATCTTGGATCTATGTTTTCTTTTAGCATCACAAAGGCAACATAACAAAAATATCCACCAGGGGGTGCTCTAGTTCAAAAACCTTGCTGGTCCAACTAAACTAAACAAAAGGCAGCACAGGCATCCTTCACATTTATCATTAGTTTTCCTCCCAATTAAACATAAAAATCAAAGTGGAATGTATGTGATTGAATCTGAATGTGTTTCTAGGGCCAGGTTACTCTGCTTTAATATTTTATTTGCATAAATTGGATCTTTGTATCCGGACATCCGCCAAATAACAGTTGTTGTGAATTTTAAATAGACTGAATTGTTTTAATTTCATAACAGTGAAATGTGGTAGACAGAAATAACTGTTTATAGATTCTGTTTTATATATATTTAGTAAATTAATTTTAGTGAGCTCTAAAGCCATAGATCAGTTAAACAAGTAGGTTCCAAAAGTCATGTTTTTTAATTAGGAAATACAAGTATGACTGCCACTTCTGTCTGTCTAAACACTGGCTTACAAGCACTTAAGGACTGTCAAGCAAGTTCCGTTTAATCAGAGGTCTTGTGAAAAATGTGGCCCAGAGCATAATTAGAAAACACCATCTCTCTGAATCAATCCAGTTAGGCATCAGAAAATGATAATCCCTGTGACAGTGATGTACAGCCAGTTGTCAAATACCTAGGTGAGTTTGTGCCTTAGGCTTGGTAAGTGGTAAACATGACAAGCTGCATGGATTTGTGTGTGTGTGTGTGAGCAGACTTATCTGCGTGCTTTACTTTGTTAAATTCAAGATCCCGCTGAGCACATCTATTACTAATAAACAACGCTGCATATTTTCCTACTTTATTAATCATCAGCATGCAAGTTTAGGGTTTTATGTCCTGATGTTTTAAAAAAGGGATTAATCCGCTTTTATGCCCTTCATCACAGCAAGACGTGCCACCTTATTAAGTCACCATAGGGACCAAAACTTTTCAAGCAGGTTTAAATTAGTGCTTTCTTTATGTGTTTGATTTACATCCAGTGATTTAATAGGGAGTGAGTGTGTGGAAAAAATAGCTTACATCAGCAGATAAGAAGATCTTTGAATGCAGGACTGTTTTTTTTTTTTTTTTTTACTGCAGAGTAAATCATGCCCTTCCTGTGCTCTCTCCACCAAGCTATTTGTATTATGCCAAATTAGCCACATCTTCTTATTTGGAGATTAATCAAAGAAGGAGAAGCACAGATATTTTTGATATTATGCCAGGGTAGGTCCAGCTGTAAAAATGTGCAATGCAACACTGAGCACAATAAAATCTGAGATTTTTATTAGGTCCTCAGTTCTTGGTACATGACAAAAAAAAAAAAAAATCATTGAGAATTTATAATTTCTCTTTCTTGACTTACTCTTACGCAACCAATTCTGGAGATTTATTTTCTTTACGCAGGCAACAAGGCCCTGTAAGAAAGAAGGCCTTGACACAAGGATGAGCAGAAACATGATAAAATTGACAAAGTGATTTTTTTTTTTTTTATAAGAAAAAAATGATCATAAAATGCTTTTGCCTTGTATCCAGGCTTATTTCAGGTTAGTTAGCAGAAAAATGCCACATCTTTATAAAATGCAAGGAAATATTTTGCCATTTTTCTTTGGTGTCCTATGAAACCACTAAAGGAACTATATCAATGAACAGACCCCTATTTTACACATGAACTTTATAGTACATATTATTTATTAGTTTTAAGATTTCCGAATTTGTTGGATGTCTTCTTTTTTTTTCCATATTTTTCAAAGCATGCCAAAGACTATCATTCTGATTTGTTCTACTGCTCCAACAATACTTGGATAAGAAATAAAAAAAAACACACCTCAATTTCAAGTAAATTAATATTTCATCACAATTACACCCCTCAGTCATAATTAGATATGTACTGGGAAATCAGCTGGTGGTCCTGATAAACACAACATACAATCCTATTTCGGTGGGATTTGATAGCACCGCACTGTAGAGAGGGGAGCAGGGGGTGCTTGAGCACCTGCCCCTTTTGCTCCTTGCCCCCAAGAAGTGCCCTTTTGGTCTTTTTTTTTTTTTTCTTTTTTGGTATTATTATTTTCTAAGCCCTCTTCTGACACATAATAACATGTACTAAAATTATTTGTGTTTTTTTTCTTTTTTGGTATTATTATTTTCTAAGCCCTCTTCTGACACATAATAACATGTACTAAAATTATTTGTGTTTTTTTTCTT